CCAAGCTAAACAAATATATAATAAACTGTACCATTTTAAGTAATAAACGGCAGTGTTTACCAAACTTTTTAATTTGCGGAGCCCTTTTTATACCCCCACCCAACATCTCTCGAGTTAATAGGGTTTAGGAGTAGTGTTATGGGGAAGGGGGTAAGAAGGGGCCTCATGCCCCCCCCCCCCCGAGGAGTGCCAGTTGAGAAATTTGTGAGCACAATTTGGGAACCCCTGACTTAAATTCTCTCAGCACCAAAATCAGGCTGATGCGCTCATTAGTCCTCTCCAATTTCCTCTGTGCCTGCGAATCCTGGACATTAACAGCAGATCTTGGAAGGAAAATAAAGGCGATGGAGATGAGATGCTTCAGAAGCATTTTTGGCATCTGCTATAGGGACCACATCTCCAATGATACAGTGAAAGAAAGGGTTCGCCAGGCAATTGGGGAGTACGATGACCCACTGGCGTCTGTGAAAAAAACGGAAACTACAAATGGCACGGCCACGTAACAAGGAAACAAGGACTTGCCAAAGAAATATCGCAGGGCACCACAAGAGGAGGGAGAAGAAGAGGAAGACCAAAAAAAAAAAAGATGGGAGGATAACATCAAAGATTGGACAGGACTAACACTGGGCAATGCTGTACGTATTGCAGAAGACAGAGCCGAATGGAGGAGGATGGTTCACATGTCATCTGTGGCGCCCCAACGGTCCAAGGACTAAGGGACATGATGATGACGACGATGATGATGATGGCGATGACATAAGGGAGGGGAGTAACAAGGAACGTCTCCCTCACCGTCGACCAGCATCTGTCTGTAGGTGGACGTGAAGGCGCCGTAGTAAGCCACGCATGCCGCGGATATGAACACGTCACCCACGACGTTGTTCAGCTGGAGGTCAAAGTTGGCCACGCTCTCCTCCCAACGGATCTGTCAAGGGGGCGAGTAGCCAGCATGTTATTACTTTTTAAAAAAAAAAAAATTTTTTTTTTTGTTTTGTTATACATAACAGATACGCAGACAGGAAGCTAAAGCTGAAAAAAAAAGTATTAACGCAACATAGCTATTCCTCAAATTTCCAGAATATGTGTCCAGCCATGACGATGCCGAAACACATCAAACAACACCTGACACATTAAACACGCAACAGAAACGTATTACACACACACACACACGCGCGCGCGCGCTCGCACACACACACACACACACACACACACACACTAATAACATCTTGTATACACTACACGCGCATTTCATGAACATGACACCCGTAGAACAAGCTCATTACATTATAATATGCACGCGCGTTCGCAATCATGACATAACATTACATACTAATTACATAAAATTACAGACTAATTACATAGCATTACATACTAATTACATAACATTACATACTAATTATATAACATTACATACACATTTCATAACATTACATACTAATTACATAGACATTTCTCACGCCTTGCATATAAAATACACTCACATTACACACGCATTTCAAGCACATTACACACAATGCATACACAACAAATGCATTACAAACACATTATAAAAACACTAATTAAAAACAACACACCAGCACTACACACATTAAAAAAGGCACACAAAGCACTACAAAGAAAAACTATTTAAAACCCAACAACTGAGAACGCTTCGAACCTGCTCGTCCGACAGCGCAGTCGTGAGCTTGGACGACCGCTTCAACCTGGCGGCCGTGACGGCCATGTTCCTCTCCAGGCTCTTCTTCTCGGCCAGACTTTTGTCGAATATGGCCTGCAGGGATTTTATCTGCTTCTCCACGTCCGCCAGGAGGTCTTGCTTCTGCTTGAGCACGCGCATCACCTCGTTCAGAACCTCCTGCGCTTCGGCCAGACTGCGGACAGTGACGTGTTGGACGGAATGCCCTCATGAGTAATGCCCAGTGATTAAGGGCACGATATCTGGCAGGTTAACACGCGCAAACCTTGAAACACAACCAGCGCAAACCCTCCCATTCTTTGTTTTTAGGTCTTCGGTGTTGGCGGACAGTGTTTAGTATGTAGGCTCGGAATGGTAATTGAAGGGAAAGTATTTGAACGGGGGCGCCATCCACACACGAAGTGAAGCACATCGTTTCCCCATTTAACTTCTATTATCCTGTGTTGCGCTATGAGTACAATACGTTGAGTACAATAAGTTGAGTACAACACTATGAGTACAATACTTTGAGTACAATACGCTGAGAACAATGCGCCGAGCACAATGTCATCGCAACACAATTTAAAAAGGAAATACCTTCATTCCTAAGGAAATAGTTTTATTCCTAAGGAAATAGCTGTATTCCTCAAGGAAATAGCTTTATTCCTAAGCAAATAGCTTACTCCTAACAGTCCCGACACAGATCATACATTTAAAGACATGTTCTGTGGTGATGATTTTGGTCGATTGTTATGCTCTATTGATATAGCTTACTCCTAACTGTCCCGACACAGATCATACATTTAAAGACATGTTCTGTGGTGATGATTTTGGTCGATTGTTATGCTCTATTGATTTGTTCTACGCTCTGCCACGGAATGCGATTTTCAAAATTACGAGACAAAATGTGAAGGAATTAAGATAACTTCGTTTTTTTATGCAGATTATAATCAGTTATAAAAAGGTTATACGGAACTGAAAATATTCTCATTCTTAACGTCAGCGACTGTTTAAAAAAAAAATAATCAAGTTGCATGTCTCGCGTTTGTTCATACACATTTTTTTTTTCTTCCAAGAACTTTCCGAATTAGTTCTAGAACAAGATGTCTTTTACTTCAGAGGAAGCTCACTGGATCTGATAGAGATTTGGAACGCATTTCATACAGGTGGGGGGGGGGGACGGACTACATATTGACGCGCGCACTACAGACTTTTACTTACGCCTGTTTCTTGGGTTCCACCTGCTTTGCTACAACAGAGTAGATGTCCATGGCACGCACCCACATAACTAATGACTTGCAGGCCTGTGGATGTATCGGGAGTTAGCAATCCATTTAACAGCCCCCCCTCCCCCTCTCCCACTCAACACCCACCAACTCACTACAACACAAAGCACCAGGCGTATGTCTAGGTGCTGGCGGGCTTCTTGAAACCCTTTTTTCTTTCTTCTTCTTCAAAAATTAAATTGAATTAAATCTTTGTTAAGCTCCGATAACTGTTGAAGTGGATAATATGTCCCCCGAGAGTCACGTATACTTTTTTGGTGTAATATGTACACGGTAACGTGGGAATAGTAAAGCCACTATGTTTCTAAAAAAAAAAAAAAGAAGCTATATCTACTGATTGGTTCATGCTAACCACGTGAAAAGTACGCCAGTACAATTAGTAAAGCTCATCAGGATAACACTTTTAAACCTTTGTTTGCAATTTGATTTAAACTAAGTGCCCCCCCCCCCTCACTCTTATCCCACTCCTCCCATTGAACTTGATATTGTCCACCACATCGTAAAATATATTGTGACAGATTAGATCGAATAAAATTACTATACATGAAAAGTATTTTCTACAGTATGTTGGTGTTTAACTTGTTCTCCGCGTGTACTTCCCAGGGGGCACCCTGGTCGCTCCAGGAAATAGAGTAACTTGTAAGACTTATTTTTAAGGGGCTCCTCCACAGACATATTGATTTTAAAAAGGGCTCCGTGAGGCGAAAAGAAGTGATGTTTTATAAATTTTTTCCCGGAATTCCTAAAAATTTAAAAAAAAAAAAAAAAAAAAAAATCAGTAGACTCTTAAAACTCTCTGTGAAATGATTTGAAATATCTACGATTATATTCGCTGAAATCGTCAACCTTTGATACTTTCGCGACGACGTCTGGCACAAAGTTGGCCATGGCCGTGTACTTCCTGACTTTGGCCAGTTTCGCCGCTGGGATGTTGTCCTTGTCAAACTCCACCAACTTTCTGAGGAAGTTGCCCTCCCCGAGCATCGCTTTGCAGCTGGCCCAATCTGTCCTGGAATGGCAAAGGGTTGATCAGTGAACCTGGTCTATCGGAATCACGGACACATCAGGATATTGTAATTAAAATTCTATGAAGTTATACAGTTAGTTAAAGCTTGTTTGACGACATGGATCTTTTGTCATGATCTCCCGGAAAGGTCGAGAGATCATACATATTATGTCTTGACATACTAAAAAACAAACAACTTCAACGTAGAGCTGGAGCGTTCCACAGCGTCCCCACCTCCACCCCAACAGCCACCACTCATTTGTTGTTGTTTGTTTTGATACCGACGTCACCGATTAAATGTGTAGCGCTGTGCCACTCCTTTACCCACCCCTCCCTTGTTTGGGAAAAGTTTGTTTACGTTCGAATACGATCTATTTTATTTAAAGAATCCGATCAGGCAACGCAATTTTCTAGAACTTCTTTTTCTGCAGTGTTTTAATTTATTTTAATTTTTAAAAAAAAAATTGAATCTATACACAAAGGGAAACAACTATTAATTTCAGAACTGAGAGAAGTCAACTTGAGTCACAATTTACGGCTAGATTAGCCAGGTAGGGTGCCCCCCCCCCGTAGGGTGCCCCCCCCCCTCCTTACTTGTAACCGAGTAGAATAGCCACCGCCTCCAGCACAGTCTGCACCAGCTCTGGAGGTTTGGTGAACACCCGGATCTCGGAGATGTCGTTCTTGTCCAGGGAATCCAGCGCCTGTACGTGAAGATAACGCCCGCGGTATCCGTTATTGGATTCGTTTGCATGACTTAAACGTTTACATAACAAAATATAGTTGTATCGAATTCGCCCGCGGTATTCATTATTGGATTCACCAGCATGGCTTAAAATTTTATGTAATAAAATACAGTTGTATCGAATTCACCCGCGGTATTTATTATTGGATTTGTTTGCGTGACTTAAACGCCTATGTAACAATATATAGAGGTATCGCGATCTATGTTACCGAGATCTATGCAACTGTGATGCATCTTAAAATCACGGCAACCAACAAGGCAGCAGACATCAGCAGACTAGAAGGCACATCTCTTGTTTTTTTTTACTGTGCTCTCTTAAAATGTCATAAAACTGTCAAACTTGTTTAAATCACACGATAATCATAACAAGAATTGGCTTATAGTGAGCTACTACCCCATGATGCTTAATATAAAGAAACTCTTTTTTTGTTTTTTGTTTTGTTAACCTTTGTTTTAACGTCCATTGGCTATTGTTACCCACTTAGAATAAAAACTCTCTGTATTATATTCCGATATATTAATATTTAAAAATTAAATAAGTGAAGTCTTGGCCGTCCCAACTTCCCTCACCTTGACCGCTGCCTCCAATGCTGGCATGGCCTCGTTCAGGTCACGCTGAGCGTCGTCTGCTATGGCCTGTGTTTCGTCCGCCGTCTTCTTGGCCTTGGCCTCCTCGATGGCCACATTTTTCTGCACCTGAATTTAAAGACCACGGCAGCTCGGTTTAAGGAAGTTCAAACCGGTTTCATGAAAGTAATATTAATAACTGGGTCTTAACCGGGTGCAGGTTCTTTTTAAACACCGGGTCCGGTTAATTTGAGGAAATGTCCGGTGGGTCCAGCTGTTGCAAAAAAGAAGTTAGCTTCTCAGTTTCTATAACGATATGCCGTGTTTTAAGCAACTGGCCTACAGACAGTCCTTTAACACTACTTGCTGGCCTTTTAACATAGGGCCTACAGGCAGTCCTTCACCCTAACTGTAAGCCTTTAAACAAAGGACCAACAGAAAGTCCTTAACCCTACCTGCCGGCCTTTAAACAAAGGACCAACAGAAAGTCCTTAACCCTACCTGCCGGCCTTTAAACAATAGGCCTACAGACAGCCCTTCACCCTACCTTTTAGCCTTTAAACAAAGGGCCTACAGACAGCCCTTCACCCTACTTGCCGGCCTTTAAACAAAATGCATACAGACAGTCCTACACAATACCCATAGCTCTTTATTGATTAATGTTATAGTTGCCTCCCCCCAAAGAACAAATATCAACCTGAACGGAGTCAAGTTGCCACGCAAGAATACTCGCTGCATGGCCGCATTCCCCCCCCCCCCACCNCCCCCCCCCCCCACTCAGTAGTATTAAAATGAAACATGTGGTATTGAGAGAGGGACAGTTGTGAAGAGAAAGCCGGACACACCAGTGGCAAATATATATATCAAGAGATCATTAAAGTTCAAACCTTCTTGTTAAAAAGGTTGATGAAAAAAAAAATTGATAAAAAACACCGTCCCTGGGTGGGCTTGAACCACCAACCTTTCGGTTAACAGCCGAACGCGCTAACCGATTGCGCCACAGAGACAGACAACGCTTCAACTCAACGGCTTAGAGTAATTTCAAAACCCCAGCTACCTTTAAAAGATTAAATCGTCCCCCCCCCTCCCCCCCACCTAGGGGCATTAGACAGCCTCCCTTGTGCACAGTACGAGGATATAAAAATGTGGTATTTATTAAATCTATTTTGCTTGTAAATTGGAGAACCGGCCGTTTGATGGTGTAATTTGTCGTTTAGTTTTAGTTTGTCTTGCCAACCCCTCGTAGCGCCAACCACTTGTCTTGCCAACCACTTGTCTCGTCAACCACTTGCCTTTCAACCACCTGTCGTAACATGTCTTGTTGAAACAGAATAACCAGACCAGTACTTTGGTGACTGAGAGTTGTGTGGACCACGCGCCAGAGGCCCCCCCCCACCCCCCACACCTCCCTCCCCCACATTCCTATTTCACAACTGCCTTGGAGAGTGGAAATTGTTTCCAAATGCATCGTTTTATTTCTTTACATTATAAAATCATTTATATTGTAAAAATCTAATTTGTTATCATCAGCAGTGGCGTGGCTAGGATTAGCGCCAGCCGGGACGGGCTATTTTTTTCCGCCATGCCTCCACGAATAAAACTCTTCAGTTGACCAAAAATGCCACCCCTCCATAAATTTGTTTAAAAAGTCTCGCCCGAAGCGGAACCTCCCCTCAATACCCTTTCCTACACCCCTGCAATGAAGTATTTGTGATAAAAATGACCTAGTTGCTAGGAGACCGCTTACAATATCAGCCTTCTCCTGGTCTATCTTCAGCTTCTCCATCAGCGCTGCCGTGTCGGCTGATTTCTGCTTCAGCTCCGGCTCCAAGGCCACCAGCTCTTTCTTCATGTTGTCCACGAGGTCGTTGGTTGAGAATAGCTTCGTCAGGCCATTGGCCACTCGCTCCCTGTCCAGTTTGATCACACTGTTGGAAGAGTTGCATTGGTCAATTTAACTAGGGAATATATTATTAATTAAAAAAAAACCCAACCCTTTCCATTACTGCTTGGCGTGTTAAATAGGCATTCTCTCTCGCTAAATGTCTAGCCTTAAATTGTATGCACATCAGTTAATGTAGTTGCGCTCACTTGGCCTTTTCCTGCACCATGGCCAGGTACAGGTTGATCAGCTCGAGGTAGGACGTTGGGGTCGTGTAGTAGCGTCGCTTGAGTTCCTGGAAGAATCGCTCAGCCATATCCGTCACGCTGACGTGAATCTCGACGCACATCGTTGAGACTTTTTCCTGCGAGGATTTCAGAGAGGGGAGAGCTACAGCTGAAACGTGCACCCAGATTACAGAAGCGGGTTGCATATATATATATATATTGCAAAGAATGACACAAACGATGTTATCCTGCGAGCTCTCCAAAGATTTAAACGACAAGAAGTGTTTGTCGGTGCTGAATGCGCAAGCCCAGGCATCAACGAGATGAATGCACACTTTGAACAGCTTGACACAGTCCCTTGGCTTAATGAGTGTTCACCTTATCATTGCCGAATTTAATTGTTTGGACCCCCTGTCCTCCTTGCACGACCTGTTTACTTTTGACGGTTGTGAATGTAAGTATGGGGAGTCTCCCCACCCCCCCCCCTCCACACTTTCTGCGGTCATCCTCAGGTGTCCTTGACAACAGTTAGGAGTTGACATAAAATATGGTGGCGCCGTCCTTAANGTGTCCTTGACAACAGTTAGGAGTTGACATAAAATATGGTGGCGCCGTCCTTAACTCTACTCGGAAAGGTGAATGTTGATATGCTTTTTTTTTTTTTTTACACCTTAACCACAGGAGGCCCCACCCCGTCACTTCAAAATAATGATAGTAACATATGACACAATTCGTACTCTGTATGTTTGAAGTGCCATGCATATTATGTTTGAATAATTTTTTTGTTCTTCTTCAAATTAAGACAAGTCCATTACTTTGACTTCATCGGAGCACCCCAGATGCACGGGCTTGAAGAAGGACTGGGCCACGCCCAGCAGGGCTTCCCTCGGCCACTCGATGAACCAGTCGATGGTACAGCAGTTGACCAGAGATGGGAACATGCGGCAGCGGCTCCTGAACGTGGCGCCGACTGGCGACATGCACAGTACGATGTGGAGATTATTCCTGTAGGCGGAAAAAAGAAAAGGTAGGGTTTGGGGTTGGGGGGGGGGGGGAGCAAAGGGCTTTTGTAATAATGAAAACAACACATGTCTGCTTTGCAGAAACATTCCTTTCTGTTTTTTTTTTTTTTATGAAAAAAAAAAAGGGAGGGTTTGGGGGTGGGGGGGGGGGGGAGCAAATGGCTTTTGTAATAATGAAAACAACACATGTCTGCTTTGCAGAAACATTCCTTTCTGTTTTTTTTATTGTTAAAAGTTAACAATGGTTTGGGCATTTAGAGTTTTTCAATCGGATTTGTCCACAGATTCGTAGAAATTATCATGACTGGCTTGTCAATATCACCATTTCGACAGTCACGTGCGTGTTTCGATGAAGTCGTTAAGAATACGGTGTTACCCTGGTTGTCACCACGCAGCTGTCTGACACACAGTCATCGGCTATTTAGATACGTTTTCTCATATCTCATGTGTATTTTCCCATCAGTGCTCAGGTTGTTTTTTCCCCTTGTAGTAGTCACATCATCCAATTTAATGAGTTCATTCATTTCTTGGTTGTCCAAAAATGATCATCCGTTACGTGAAATGTTTAAAAAAAAAAAAAGAGTTTGTTTTATCATGAGTTCAAATTTCTCTTGTCTTTTGTCGGACATTTGTTTGTCAACCACTTTGTCGTTTCAACCGCTTGTCGTCTCAACCACGTTATATTGACTTATTGAAGACATTAGCCCAAACCATATTGAAAATATAATTTTATTTGACACATATGGGACATTAATTTTTTTTTCAATACCTGAGCACGACTTTCAAATTCCGACTTCCAACCTTCGCATAACTTACCTGACTCTGTGTTACGACATTCAGATTAATTTACCTGACTCCGTGTTACGTTACGACATTCAGATTAACTTACGTGATCACGTGTTACGAGATTCAGATTATCTAACCTGACCATGTGTTACGACATTCGTATTAACTTACGTGACCCTGTGTTACGACATTCAGATTAACCTACCCAACCCTGTGTTACGACATTCAGATTAACCTACCTGACCCTGTGTATACAAAAGTCGTATATTGCATCTCGGTTTCCCTCAGGGATCCCCGCATCCTTGGCGCCGGGCCTGCAGCCGATGATGAGTTTCTCATACTCGTCCGGTTCAAACAAGTTGGGTACCTCCCCAGAGTTGAGCATGTTGTTGATGTCTTCTAGGAACTCCTCGACCACAATCTGAGAATACATCGGCCGGCCCATCAGGGATATGTGACGGACAGCGCCCCGTCAAATGAGGGGTGAAGTGGGCAACCTCCCCCGAGCACCATCTTGAAAAGGGCGCCAAATGGTCAATTTTCATGCATAGTATGTATTTAAAATATACTTTTGTGGGGAAGGGCGCCTAAATTAGGTGCAGTTTTTGGACACCCCCCCACCCTTGTCGCACAGATTTTGTTTTGACACGACCTTGGTGACGAGTTATGTAGTGAACTGAATAATTTCGTTTTCTAATGGGACCCTTGACGTATATGAGAAGGGTCCGATAAGGCTTTGCTAGGTTTTGTGAGGAGCGAGTAGTAACAGTGTCATTGATCACCCGGAAAAAAATAATAACATGGAAAATAAAACAAGCTGTTACATGTGTGTATAGACCATCACGACTTTCACCCTTGCGTCTAGCCATGGCAACTAAGCCTGTTGCCCATGTGTCTAAAACCGATCTAGTCTGTTGCCAGTGTGTCTAGCCAATCCAAGCTGTTATCGGTGTGCATGACCCAATCAAAGCTTTTACCCGCGCGTCTGTCTCATCAAAGATGTTGCATATGTGTCCATCTGATCCCAGGCTGTTGCCTGTTTCTGGCCAAAGAAACCTTTTCACCTGTCTGACTAAGTCAAACAAAGATGTTACCTGTGTGTCCACCCAATGAAACCTTTTGCCCGTTGATGACCAAAGAAAGTTTTTTTTTACCTGTGTGACCAAGTCAAAGATGTTACCTGTGTGACTAAGTCAAAGATGTTACCTGTGTGACTAAGTCAAAGATGTTACCTGTGTGTCCGTGAACAGAAATATGGTGGGTTTGTTCTGGATGCCGGCAGATTCGTAGAGCTTCTTGAGGTCGTCGTGAAAAGACGAGTAGTCGTACCCTCGGCACAGCTCAATCTGGAAGCACTGGTAGCTGCATATGTGCGCCGACAACCTGGTCCAATCATGAAAAAAGTGACCCGTGAGCGGTCTAACACTATCGACCTACCATACACACCGTTTAGATAAATAGGTCAAAATAGCAGTCACGTCTTATCAGATGAAAATATCAAACCGCGACCTTTGTATTATAGGAGAGCTGCGTCACCTGCGTTGACGTCCTGCAAGTGCATTAGAATCAGGGTTGTCACCCCTCCAGACTTCTTCAAGGATGGACCGCCTTCAAGTCTGTCTGCTCTGGTGACCAACCTGTTCTGGCGACCAACCTGCTCTGGCGACCAACCTGCTCTGGCGACCAACCTGTTCTGGCGACCAACCTGCTCTGGCGACCAAACTGCTCTGGCAACCAACCTGCTCCGGCGACAACCTGCTCTGGCGGCAACCTGCTCCGTGTCACCCTGCTTTTGCATATCTTAGATCTGTTGCGAATCCTCCTCTGTAAAACTTGCAACTTTCGATTTGGTGTCACCCCCTCCTTTGAGGGTTTCCCATGTACGCCCCCCCCCCCCTCTATGATGCTGCTGATCTTAACACTTGTTTCTTACACCAGACAACGACAGGTACAAAAAGAACATCAGTTATACCTGGTCAGTGACTGTTTCCCTGTCCCACCGACCCCCACCAGTAAGGCATTGCCTCGTTCTTGCTGCACCATTCTGACCAGCCTGGTGATGTGCTCGATGGCGTCCAGGAAGAAGACCAGTCTCATCTCCTTGGGGGACGACATGTTCAGGTCGTCGAGGTACTGAGAAAAAAAAAAAGAGGGGGTGGGGTTGGTAGGATATTACAATGGCGAAACATGTTGTGTTAACATTTCGTTACATCTCGCCAAACATTTGACAATGTTTGACGTCCAACATTAAACAACATTTGAGGTCCAACATTTGATGTCCAATATTTGACGTCCAACAGTTGACGTTCAACATTTCACGTCCAACATTTGACGTCCAACGATGTAAGCGTTTCATGTGAACTATTTCCCCAGAACAAAATTAAGTATTTTTCTAATGGAAATAAGTTTAAAGCGCAAAGACATATTAAAAAAAAAAAGTCTGGTTTGCAGCAATGATTTCCAACACCCAAGCCGTGGGCCGCATTTGATCCCGCTTGCTGTGCGATTTAAGATTGAAAGACATCTCCGTCGACTATTCACTGACAATTCATATATATTAACACGCTTGGAATTGAAAATAAATATCCTCCTAAACGCTTAACGCCAATTTATTGCGTCTGTCTCTTCCAATGCAAGTCTCAAATGATAAGACTCTGTGTAATATTATGAACTGAGTACAATGAGACACACGAGACACAATGAGACACACGATCTATTTTTTAAGGAGTTTAAATGACTAATTTTTTTTAAAACGGTATACTACCAATAACCTACATCCGACAGAATGCTCTTGATCTTGTTCATGTCCATCATCTCCTCGTAAAATCTTTCTTCCGGCGGGGATCCCATCCTCATGAAGTTCCCAAACAAAATGGGGTCTGTTATAAACGTCTGGGGCTCCACTGACTAGTAGTAAGGGAAGCAAACAGGGGAAAAAGGGGGAAGGGTGATATGGTTTAAGAGGATATTGAAACTTGGATCTCAATAGGTTCATGTTGTTAAGAGTGTGTTTATTGCTAGTTGTCAATATAAACGGAAAGTAACAAAAAAACAAACAAAAAAAAACAAAAAAAAAAACAAACAAACAACAACAACAACAACAACAACAAAAACAACAACAAAAAAGAACAAAAAACAATTATAATAATATAAAAAATGTGGGGAAAAAATTATTTATTTGAGCTGTAAAATCCCAAGATTCTTTCTTTTAAAGTGTACAGAAAATGTCTTCCCAGTTGGGAATGTTTGATCCTATAAGAAACATAAGCTTCAAATACATGTATTATTTTATTTTTGGCATAAGACATGAATTTGACACACAGCCTCTCTCAACAGTGACGTCAGTGTGTATCACTGTACAACGAACCATGTGATAGGTCAGCTGTTTTCAAAACTATTTTTCTTGATTAGAGAGTAAATCTGGGAACTACACGGTATCCAATGAGGACTAGCTCACATAACCTCCGAGCCAGATCGATTTCAAATTAGAACAGCCCGCCCTACGTCAAACTCAGACGAACATCGTGCAGACGTCCTAAACATCTTGATTCCTCTCCAGCTAACCAAAGGTTCTTGGGTCTAGCATGCTATTCCATAGATCAAATCTAAATACAGTGAACAATTTTTAACCAAATTAACGAATATTTCACCCCCCCCCCCCACCCCAAAACCCAGTAACCCCGACCCCCCCCCGCCCCCCCCCCCCCCGATAGCTGAATATGACACTAATTACAGACCTCATTAATATAATTGGCGAGAATCTCAGACATGACCCTGTGGAAGAAGTACTCGTAACGCACTACTGACCTCATCAAAGTACTTGGCCAGAATCTCGGACATGAGCCTGTGGAAGAAGTACCACTACTGGCCTCATTAAAGTACTTGGCCAGGATCTCAGACATGAGCTTGTGGAAGAAGTAACACTACTAACCTCATTAAAGTACTTGGCCAGGATCTCAGACATGAGCCTGTGGAAGAAGTACTTGTCCTCCAGGTTGATGAGACGGTCGTGGAAAACGCGCTGTGTCTCGTGAATGAACAGGCGGGTCATTTGTGGCTTCTCCCGGAATATCGTAATGTCGGCTTGTAATATTCCTGCAACATCAAATTGATACTTTCCTGATATGTGATACCTTACCTGAAATATCAACTTTATAATTTCCTATTATGTGATACCTTACCCGAAATATCAAATTTATACTTTCCTGATATGTGATACCTTACCCGAAATATCAAATGTATACTTTCCTGATATGTGATACCTTACCAGAAATATCAAATGTATACTTTCCTGATATGTGATACCTTAAACGAAATATCAAATGTATACTTTCCTGACATATCATATGTGTATAATCCTGATATATCATATGTTTACCTCACTGATTTATCGTATATAACTTCATGAAGTATCAAATATATGCTTTCCTGTTATATCATATGTATAGCTTCCCTGAAAAATCAAATATATCTTTTCCTGAAATATGATGTGCGTACCTTCCTGAAATATCAAATATATACTTTCTTGAAACATCAAATATATACTAATCCTGATATATCATATGTACACCTTCCTGAAATATCACACGCACACATTTCCTGAAACCATAGCCACCCTAACACTTAATTTCATATCAATCAAGGCTCACATAATTGTGACCTAAATCAATCAATGCGTAGTCATGATTTATTTTGTCTGCTGATGGTTAAAACTGGGTCTGCTCAGACTTAGCCACGTGTTTGTTAGAGTAAAAATAAGGTTTAGTCAAAGTGAGGTGCGTGTAATCAGTTAGTCGGAAACTTAGTTTTTAACCCCCCCCCCCTTTAGCCCCCAGGGCCGATTAAACTTCTCTGTTTGTCCAACAAGCCGTCATCTCCCTCACCCTGGACCCCTTTGGACGGGTCCCTGAGATTGAACACGTAGTGGGACTTGGCGGGCGTGGGGAGCAGGTCAGTGCTCATCCTGAAGTACAGGTCAACCGAAGCGTTCACGATGGGATCCGCCAGGGCTCGTATGTTGCGGGAGAATTCAGTGAAGAACCCGGTGATGATGGCCTGTGGCGTAGACAGAAAAACGTGTTAAGACAGAGGGAGAATTCAGTGAAGAATCCGGTGATGATGGCCTGTGGCGTAGACAGACACACGTGTTAAGACAGAGGGAGAATTCAGTGAAGAATCCGGTGATGATGGCCTGTGGCGTAGACAGACAAACGTGTTAAGACAGAGAGAGACCTCGAAAGACAAAAACAGAAGAGCATGACGTAACCGCTCAGGTGTTACCATAGAATTTAATACGTGATAGATACTGACTAATGAAAAATATATCCTGATTAATGAAATAATATATACTAATTAATAATATATATATAACATCATTCCGTATTCGCGAGACGACGGAGTGGCTATTGAAAATTCACCAAATTAATGGCCGATCCTGGAATGGGCGTATCGCCTGCATTTCTTGCAGGAGAGCCTTGACTTTTGGTTTAAACTGGCCTTCCGCATTGCTCTTTTTTGTTGCATGCTTTTTTTTTTTTTTTTCGTGAATTTTAGTCCTGTTCGACTCCCTCAAACTCTGCTGTTTGCCAGCTGGGAAGGTGCTCAGCTATGATCTCCGATTTCTAATTTCTATTATGGCTACCCCCGTGTTCCTCTTGCAAACGTCCTTAAATTGTAGCCGGTAGACGTTCAAGTAAACTTTTTCCCTTCTGCCGACTCTCCACACACTGATTCTTTGGAATAGTGATTTCCTTTATTCTCCTTGCATGGCTTAACCAGCAAAAGCGCCCCTTGCTAAGAGCGGAGATCAAGCTACAAATTTTGGCATGCACCGAAACCTCTGTGTAAGGCACCTTGTCCTGCCTTTGAATGCGCAAAACCTCTGTGTAAGGCACCTTGTCCTGCCTTTGAATGCGCAAAACCTCTGTGTAAGGCACCTTGTCCTGCCTTTGAATGCGCAAAACCTCTGTGTAAGGCACCTTGTCCTGCCTTTGAATGCGCAAAACCTCCGTGTAAGGCACCTTGTCCTGCCTTTGAATGCGCTAAACCTCTGTGTAATGCACCTTGTCCTGCCTTTGAATGCGCAAAACCTCTGTGTAAGACACCTTGTCCTGCCTTTGAATGCGCAAAACCTCTGTGTAAGGCACATTGTCCTGCCTTTGAGTGCGCAAAATGCGACGCACACCTCTTTGATGGAAGCGTGTTGAGTTTCCGCTCATGACTGGCATATGTGGTCCACACTTCAATACCATAAAGGAGCGTACTAAGCACACATGACTGGCATATGTGGTCCACACTTCAATGCCAAAAGAGAGCGTTCTATACATCCATGACTGATAGATGCTTGGTTTTGTACGTTCGGTGAATTTAGGATTATTCCCATCCCTCATATTAAAATGTCACCCAAATTTGAGTAAATGTTACATACTGATTAAAACATAATATAATAAATTATGCATACTCATAAATGAATAATCATTACTGATTAGTGAATAATATATACAGATATTGACTAATAAAAATGATTAATCAATAACACAAACTTATTGATAAATAACATATACCGATTTATAAAACTGTAACAGGCTCATCTCACCATATTCTTCAAATGTTCTCCTGATGGTTAACACAAGTCAGTAAGGTAACTAACACGTTTCAATCGACACCTTTGAACATTTTCCTAAACTAAACTCACGAGCTGGTCGTTCATTGAAAATTTGAGTTTTTAACCAAAAGATCAGTGCAAAAGACTTTTTATAAACATTTATACAACGAGCAACCAACAATGCTCCAGAAGACTGGGATTGAATCACGTTGAAGGGATCTACATAAGTTTAGAAGACTGGGATTGAATCACGTTGAAGGGATCTATATAAGTTTAGAAGACTGGGATTGAATCACGTTGAAGGGGCCTACATACGTTTAGAAGACTGGTATTGAATCACGTTGAAGGGGCCTACATACGTTTAGAAGACTGGGATTGAATCCCTTTGAAGGGACCTATATAAGTTTAGAAGACTGGGATTGAATCACGTTGAAGGGGCCTACATACGTTTAGAAGACTGGGATTGAATCACGTTGAAGGTACCTGGATAGGTTTAGAAGACTGTGATTGAAATATTTTGAATAGATCAGGTTAACTTTGATCTCATATTCGACATGGCTGAAACTGAAACGGCAGACAAAGATACAGTTATCTGAATTTCGATATTTCGCTTTAAGAACTAGTCAATGTTGTTAGGGAAAAAAATGACGAGGACCCAGACTGAGACTAAGAGTAAGGCCTTGACTGAGACTAAAACATAGACGTTATCAAGACCTAGACCAGGACTCAGGCTGAGACTAAGACTAAGGCCATGACTGAGACTAAAACATAGACGTAATCAAGAACTAGACCAGGACTCAGGCTGAGACTAAGACTGAGACCACGACTGAGACTAAAACATAGACGTTATCAAGACCTAGACCAGGACTCAGGCTGAGACTAAGGCCACGACTGAGACTAAAACATAGACGTTATCAAGAACTAGACCAGGACTCAGGCTGAGACTAAGACCACGACTGAGACTAAAACATAGACGTTATCAAGACCTAGACCAGGACTCAGGCTGAGACTAAGACTGAGACCACGACTGAGACTAAAACATAGACGTTATCAAGAACTAGACCAGGGCTCAGGCTGAGACTAAGGCCACGACTGAGACTAAAACATAGACGTTATCAAGACCTAGAACAGGACTCAGGCTGAGGTTAAGACCAGTTCGAAGACTCAAGACCTAGACATATCCCAAAATAAGCTATCGCCTACCATAAACATTTGCTTGAGGCTCTGCTCCGTTGGAGACGGGATGCTCAGCATCGTGAAGTGGCGGAACAATCTGGGCGTGACCGGGTTTCTACCACCGCCAGGTGGCGAACAGGCAGCAGAGAGCGTCACTTCCTGTTAGCCGATTAAAAAAAAATGAGACGAAAATATTAAAAAGAAAAAGAGATCCCACGAAAGTAATGACTTCCAATGACACCCCCCCCCCTTCATTCCCCCGTGACCACACCGCAACGATTCGAATCTTTCCAAGAACGATCACGACAGGAATATCTGAACTTAAGCTTCTCTAAAACTGCAGTGAATCATGCGCATGCTCAGAAATCTTATCCGCCTCCCTGTTATTCTTCTACTATATTTTGAGGGCCCACTATCAATGTATCGATCAATCTGGCTCCCATACTTGTAAAGGGGATTCGCAATGTAACTGTGCACAGTTTAGAAGGGGATACTTCACTGGTTGCAAGGGGCGCTACTCGACAATGGTCTTTAACACCTTAGTGAACCTCAAAAAGGCCAGCAATTGGGGAAAGGTGGGACGGGGGGGGGGTCTTTTTTAAATCACAAAAATTATCATCAGCAACAGCTTAATATTTCGTTGCAACGCATAAAAAGATGAAGCATTTGAATTGATCGGGGATATAATAAAAAGCGAATAACGCAATAATTTCGTCCTTGACGTGTCGATCTGTGATTGCATTACCTGGATTTCTTTCCACGTCATGTTGTCCCGGTCGTACAGGCCACCGAAGTCGAGGTACTGCCGGAGCAGTTCTATCGGGGGCTGGGAGCCGAAGGTGTCTTGTTTGGGCATGTTGAGGTCGTCGATGAAGATGATCACACGTTTGCCCTTGGGGGCACCTGGGGAAGGCCAAAAAGAGAAATGCCGCAACACATCGACGATATCATTTCCACGCAGCTCAAGAGTTGCGACAGACAGCATTAAAGTTCTTGGTAGATGAAGTTCTTTGTTTATTTACATTTATATCTTCTTTTCATGTGATAGTTTGTTGTAAGATACATTTCTGAGAGTCTAAACATTGCTTGTTGTTTAAATTTAAAAAAAAAACAAAACAATTCAAGAGGAGAGCCCTAATACATTTAGTTGTAGAAATATAAAACCAGTTCTAGAGGAGAGTCCTAACACATTTAGTTGTAGAAATATAAAACCAGTTCTATAGGAGAGTCCTAACACATTTAGTTGTAGAAATATAAAGCCAGTTAGAAGAAATCTTTCACACAGCTGTTTGTACAATTATGGCGCCAATACTTCTAAAGGGGCTTGCCGCCTCACCAATGACATTCTTTCGCCGCTTCTCCAGCTTTCCTTCAATCATCTCCTGGGTTCGATTGCTGCTGGTCTGGGCTGAGAAGTTGATGAAGATGGGTACGTAGTTGACCCTTTCCGCGATCCGGTCTAACAGATCTCTTGCGATAACAGACTGTGGACAGAAAGGTTCAGTAGAGATAACAGACTGTGGACAGAAAGGTTCAGTAGAGATAACAGACTGTGGACAGAAAGGTTCAGTAGAGATAACAGACTGTGAACAGAAAGGTTCAGTAGAGATAACAGACTGTGGACAGAAAGGTTCAGTAGATTTTTTTTCTTGTTAATTGGATCCTCCCCCCCCAACCCCCCTCAAATAATTAAAAAAAATCTCCGCTTCTTATGGCTCTAGGACCCTGACCTTAGGTCAATTGAAACCACGGGATTTNACCACCCCCCCCCCCCCCCCGATTTTAAAACTCTTCGTATCCCATATTTTGCCTAAACAATTCCAAGGACTAAAACACTCAATCCGAGTCCATTACAAAAGCACACCATTTACAAGTAACAAGAATTTTTCGTTATTTTAGTTCTTCAAAGTCTTAACAGAGATTGCCACAGAGTCGTGTCTCCCTTACCTTCCCCACGCCCGTCCCGCCCGTGTAGAGGACGGGACGGTCCACCGAGAGCAGTCGGTCCAGGAAGTAGCCGTAGCGTGCGGTGTCGGTCGTGGGCACCATCATCTTGAAGAAGGACACCGACTTGTCGTAGCGGAACGACGGCACCAGCCGGTCCCAGGAGTCCATCTTCTTGGCGTCGGTGTCGATGTAGTAGCCCCAGAGAGGGAGGGTGGCAGGTAGCTGGGGGTTAAAAAAACAACAAAAACCGAGGTCTCGAGTAAGAATAAAAGGTTGGTATTTGGGGTCGGCCTGGTCAGTGTTTGACATCCATTACAAGCTTTTTTTATTTGTTTTATTTGTTAATTCCGAAGTCTGTAATGTGTGCGAGGGCAAGATTTAACAAATGTGAATAGTTATAATTATTTCATATGGAGGCAGACATGTGAATACGTAGAAATATTTCCAATGGAGGCAGACATAACATGAATAGTTAGAATTCTATCATATGGAGAGTGCCAATGTATGTGTCTTGTCCACATCATCATTGTCAGTCCCACCATGTCGTGGCAGACATTTTGATAAAATACCCGTGGCCGTTGATGCGTGACTTTGTACTGTAAGCCCCAGAATATGTTAAAATGAACTCAGATGTGTATTTTAACAAATAAATTTTTTTTTAAATTTAACGTCCTAATTAATTACCCAGCAAACATTTGTTTGTACTCATCGTCACATATTACCCACCCAGTGTTGTAGCTATAGCTGTAGAGCTCGTTTTTTGACCCCCTAGGGACGGTCCTTGCCCTAGTACCTACCCACCCAGTGTTGTAGCTATAGCTGTAGAGCTCTTATTTTGACCCCCTAGGGACGGTCCTTGCCCTAGTACCTACCCACCCAGTGTTGTAGCTATAGCTGTAGAGCTCGTTTTTTGACCCCCTAGGGACGGTCCTTGTCCTAGTACCTACCCACCCAGTGTTGTAGCTATAGCTGTAGAGCTCGTTTTTTGACCCCCTAGGGACGGTCCTTGCCCTAGTACCTACCCACCCAGTGTTGTAGCTATAGCTGTAGAGCTCGTTTTTTTTGCCCCCTAGGGACGGCCCCTGCCCTAGTCCCTACCCACCC